CCAAATCAAAGAAACAACAACCCCAAATGCCCCAACTTAGATTTGCAGCCTAAGATTGGTCCAACAGAGTTGGATCATCTAGATCTCAGTGCGCACTCCGCAACAGAAATTCGAAAACCTGAAAGCTGTGAAACCTCCAGCCAGCGTGGCAAGCAGATGCAAGCAGCACAACAGCGCAACCACAGACATTCAAAGTTAGGATCTTCCAAAGACACCCCACATGAGACTTGGATGTTCCACTTCCGAGGCTTGTGCTGGTGTCCTGCTTACTTGGCTCTTTTGGTGTACCTCAGCGACCGCTCCTCGGGCCTCACCGCGCGTACCGACCGATCCCATCCGTCTTTCTTCGGTCTCTTCGGGTCATTTCGGGTCTCGGATCCGCACTCGGTCCGAAGCCGCCGCCACACGAGCAACACGAGCCGTCAACGCAGTCCGAGGAAACCCCGAAGGTTGAACGATGAGGGTTGATCGCGCGCGTCAGGGTCGGGCGCTGAAAGGCTCTTAAGTCCCCACCGGGGCCCGGTGGGGTTCTCAGGTGGCGCAGATCTGTCCGGTCCAATCCGGTCGTTCTGGGTCCCGTGTTTCCGGATGCCCTTGGTATCCTCGGGTGGGGTCGAAGAGTCGGTCCAAGAGCCGGTCCGGAGTGAAGGCATCGATGCGGTAGACCATGTGGCTGGTGTTGATGTCAAGTAAAAACAGGACCCCGCCGACTGACTTCATCCGATTTCAATCCACGGTTCGCGGCCCCATCTATTCCAGCTGAGTCGGTCCACACGAAGGGTCGTGGCTGACGTCCCAGGCTTCGCTGAGCCGCGCATCGCGTCGAGATGCGGGATGCTGGGATCGATTGGGGAGGGGCCGGGGAGGGAGAAGATGGAGGCTACAGGTGTTTCAAGAACTGGGACGTCCTGATAGAAGGAGATGCACAATAAGGGGTTTGGCACAGTAAGGAGATGCTTGGGGTTGGGGAGGAGGAGGTACAGTATTTGTTAATTTGTTGGACTTAAGATTGGCCCTTCTCGCTGGCTATCAGGAGGTGAGTATCTACTGCGCTTCTTTGCTTTCGTCCCTTAGCCATACCTAGAGAAGCAAAACACTAACAATTATAGGCTCCTGGATGAAACATCGCTTTTTCTAGGGAAGAGATGGAAAACATATGAAAACATCGTCTTTTCTCGAAAAAAGATCGTCTTTTTGGTAAAACCACTGAAGAATAGCTCCGGCTACCATAAACAAACACCTGTCTCCCGGATCTTGCTTTCAGGTGAGTGCCGTGGGACCTTCATGGATCCGCAAGTCACCAAATGTCGAGCATTCTTCCGATTCTTCCATCTGTGTTGGTCATCTTAAATTAAATAGCCCTTTTGTGAATTTGGAGGGCGCCTTCACTGAAAACATAAGACACCGTATTTATCCCGTTTTGGAGCCCGTACTTAACCCGTACTAACCCATACGGAACCCGTATTTTCGATCGGCCCCAAAAAAACATTGTGTTTTGAGAACCCATATTTAACCCGTACGGAACCCGTACTAACCCATACTAAACCGTACTAAAAATATGGCTTTTTTGCATCCCTGACAACCAGATGCCATTTGTGAGTTCTTAGGCTCGTAGCTGCATGTTGAAGGCTCACTCTCGATCCGGGTGAAAAGTGTTCTTGGTGAGGTCGACATTTGGTGACTTGTGTCCGAAATTCAGGTGCGTGCTGTCAGATCCAAAACACACATTTTGGAAAACATTGTCTTTTCCTAAAAAAGATCGTCTTTTTCTAATGTACTACGTTTTCTTGGTATCTTGTTTCCCTAGGTAGCTCTAAGGTTTGCCCCATTGCCTGTAACAGTCGGCCATTTAGAGAAAGGCCTTTAATTCTATGACTCGATATGACTCGTCATAGTATTTGGTCATGTTTAATGATATATATATATATATTTGGGATACCCAATATCGCTCTGTCATACGGTATGAACCACCAAGCAGGGAGGCGGTTTTTTTTAAAATCAACGCACAAATTCCAGACTCGGAGGCATGGATACGAGTCTTGACAAGAGCTGATCGCAAGACTCAGAGCACCCCAGATACATGGCGGGGTGCCCCGAATTCCTCAACCAACATTTTCCAAACATCTTCCAAGACATCTCAACCGCTCAGCTCGCAGCGAAGCCCGTCGGAGCGCGACCCCTCGGGGAAAAAGCGAGCGAAGTGAATCGCATCGGCTACCGGCCTTGAGGGACCTCCTTCAATCGCTCCTTCTGGGCCTGTGCGTGGCGGCCGTGTCGGCGGCCGGGAGTTTCGCGTCCCGAGAATGCCACTGGGAGGCGTTTACGGAAAAGCCCGGTGGCTCCGGGGTTGAAGACACGAAGGACAGCGCTCCCGAAAACTGACAGACCCGGGTCGAAGGGCGCCCTGAAAGACCATGAAAGAATATGAAAGACCTGCTTTCTTCTAAAACCCACTACTTTTCAGGGTCCACGTCTCCAGGGACCCTTTCGGCCAAAGGATGTTGTTTGCTTTATCCAGGGTTTTCTACTGCTCTCTTCCTGTGACGATGATGGTGATGATGATGTTTGTTGGACTTGTATTAATACCATGATTCTTTCGTCTATGGTGCCTGTCAGATCCTGTAAGCCTATATCATCCTATATCATGTTGCAGCATGTTGCAGCTGACAGGTTTCCAACGTGTTGGTTTGGGTGTCCGATCCTTCTCCAGGGCTTCTCGCACGTCTGCTTTGCACAGGTTACGAGCGTGGCATGTTTCCCTCTTTGGGCTACTTGGCAGCGACAGGAATCACCGCGAACACGAACGCGCAGCGCCGCCACAAAAAAGAGCCAAGAAAGAGAGAGAGAGAGACTTCAAGGCAGAGTGCTGCTGTCAATGCTCGAAACTTCACGGTTTCTCCGGGGGGCTTCTCGAAACTTCACAGGTCTCTCAATTTGGCTCTGAGTCCGTTCTCCCATCAACTTCTCCAACTTGTTGGTCCAAGTCAGTTCGAGCATAACCAAACTCACCAAAACCAAATTCGTCCAATTCAGATCCTGGATCTAAATCTACCAACCAAACATTCTGGCAGTGTTGGTGATTGCCCCGGTGTTCCATGCAACCGGCCGCAACATCAGCGCAAGCGGCAAGCAATCGCGCAACAAGCCTGCAAACAAGCAAAATCCTCAGCACAACGAAAACAGCAATACAACAAAATCCTTAAACAAAATGCAAAAACGACCACAAAATGCTTGGTACACTTGGAAGATCCAGGTGATTTGGCGCAACGTCCCCCGAACCTTCCCCCGAAAACGCTCCTGCCTAGGCTGGGCCGGTTTTTCGCTGGTGGCCTTGGCCTTGGCACGTTCGCGTGGCGGACCCATGGGGCCGATCGGAGCACCCTGAAACGGCTGAAGCGGTGCGCAGCTTGGAGCTGGCAAAAGTCGCGCGGAAGAAAGGGGTACCATTTGACCATTGGAGTTGATGGTGCTAAGGCTGTAATTGTTCATGTTTTAGTACGTATTTTAGGGTCATTCATGGCTGCACCCTTTTTCCTAAGAAGACTTGAAGTCGGGTCCGGGTAGATCGACATGTGGTGCGTGAAACGCCGCGTGAAACGCGTAATTCGACTGGATCGGTCCGTTCTCGTTTCACTGGGGACGGGGCTGCTCAGCCGGACCACTGCCTTAAGGAGAAATCTGTACCGCTGGGAGGCGAGCAGCCGTTTCATTAGCATTTCCATACGCGTCCATTGTTCCTAGTAGCTTCGTGCTACTTAGTAGCAATGGCCTCCACCCTAGTAGCTCTGGAAGTCCAAGACTATTTTAAACATAGGCTCTGGGTGACCCGAGTTCAGGAATGTCCTTGACTTGGGCGCTGGACTTCTATAGGGATTTGTCAAGACTGAAGTAAGGTAGTGACCTCATCCGACCTCCAAGTACGTCACTGACGGAAGTTGTCCTGGCGAACCTAACTTCATGAAACATGGTGGCTTTAAGAGGGAACCCCAACGGGAGATTTGCACAGATCACATGGCCCTGTGGCTTGCTGGGTGCATTGAAAGCGGCAGCAGCTGCGTGCTAGCTGCCACCAGTTAGCTTGAAGATCAAGGCAACAACTCGAGTGAAGGGGCCCCAGACCGCTGTTGATGCTGCACCATGTTGCACCCAGCTTTGAGGAGTGGTATTTTGTAACATGTGATGCCGTGGTTGAAAACATGTTGAACCCCAAAAAGGCATCCGTTGGGCAGTTCGGCCACAGTCGACCCGCGGCCCGACCCGCGGACCGAGCTTTTTCGGGCCCGGTTTCCTGTGGATCAGCTCCGCCACATGGGCGCACTGGGATGCACACAGCCGCCTGAGATGGCCAGGAATTCCTCATGGGGTGCTATTTGTCAGGATCCCTGGGAAGTGACTTCGGCCCTGTTTTTTCCGCACTAAATGGTGCGCGCTTCTATCCATCCAATCCAGAAAGCTTGGATTCGGAATTCCCCAAACTGATGGCAAGAAGAGCTGGTGTTCTTGCCATGGCACACCTCTTGGAAGTGCGAATCAGTCCTCAGGTCAGACGCAGAGGTTGTCCTCACAGGGGGCGGTTTTCATGGTCGATGTTTTGCTCCGCAGGTCTCAGGCCCAAATGGACGTCGTTTTCGTTTTGTTCCCCACCGAGCTGTCGAGTAGTTTTGCGAGACATTTGCACCAGTAAAACCACTAACAGATCGATGGAAGATGATCACTGGTCACTTTTTTAAGAGGTCGACTTGCAACCTTACCGTCATCATCATTGTCATCATCATCATCATCATCATCATCATCAT